AATTTTTATGTTGATCAATTTTGGCCAAGAAATTTAGATTGGTATTTTGCAAAATACAGGGAGGTAGAAGGAGTATTCGATTTCGTGTATTTTAATAGGTTTTGATGATTGAGCAAAGTGGGCGGGGCAACTGGCTCAAGTGGGCGGAGAAATTGGCACAAGTGGGCGTGGTTTCGCTGCTTTTCGAATCACAGCATCCCTAGTTCCATAGATTAGACTTTGCAAATTTTATTTCGTGCTTTGATTTGTGTGTTTTATTTATTGCTTTGATTTGTGTAGTATTTGTTCTACCATAAGTGGGCAGGGTAACTGGCTCAAGTGGGCGGGGTAACTAGCATGAGTTGGCGTGGTTTCACGGCCCTTCGAATCCCAGCGTCCCTGATTTCATGCGTTTGACTCTGCGAATTTTACTTCGTGAAATAAATTGCTTCGATTTGGATAGTATTTGATCTAACATCAGTGGGCGGGGTAACTGGCTCAAGTGGGCAGGGTAACTAGCACAAGTAGGCGTGGTTTCATTACCATTCGAATTCCAGCGTCCCTAACCACATACGTTAGACTTTGCAAATTTTACTTCGTGAAATAAATTCCTTTGATTTGTATAATATTTGATCTAGCATAAGTGGGCGGGGTAAGTGGCACAAGTGGGCGTGGTTTCGCTGCTCTTCGAATCCCAGCGTTCCTAGTTTCATACATTAGACTTTTCAAATTTTACTTCGTGAAATAAATTACTTTGATTTGTATAGTACTCAATCTAGCATAAGTGGACGGGGTAAACAGCACAAGAGGGCGCGGTTTCGCTTCTACTCAATATCCAATGTCCTCAATACACTTCAATTCGTCAATTTTCAGTTCATTTGATCAATCACTTCGATTCGAATGTGCTAGTGTTTGATTAACCATGAATGGGCGGGGCAAATGCCTTAATTGGGCAGGACAAATGACCCATTCAGGCGTGGCTTCGTAGCTCCCGGATCTCCAGATCGTTTCACCGCTCACTTCCATAATTCAATTTGTCATTTTCTTCTCCACTGAACAATTTGCTATACCTCGAACAGGTCATTTACTCGATTAAGCCCGAGTGGGCGGGGCAACAAGTGCAAATGGGCGTGGCGAACAAGAATCTCACCGATATCCCTATCTACCGAACGAAAATTCGTCCGTAAAATAAGGAAACCAGTCAATTTCGCGAACTATGTAAACACGAATTTCGACTAAACGTGCTCGCAATCGGTCATGCTAAGGTAGCATGACACGTTGCACGGTGTCGTAGCCGCCCGCGGTCCGTTCTATCCGCGCACCGATCACGCGGCAACGTGTTTCGTTAATGAAAATCGATGTCGTCGCGTGTTCATCATCGTTTATGAATGTTATCGATCGCCGTGCAGAACGAAGGAACCGGATAGCATCAACGTCGCGGACAAGTGGGCAGGCTCTCCCCGGGTCGCTCTGATCTCGTGGGAACTGGTCGTGATTAGTCCACGTCAATAGCAACGCTAGTTATGCTAATTGCGCGAGAGCAGTTCGGCCGCTGCGCCAGCAGCAGCGCTGCCGTAGATAAGCTAGGTACGAACGTAGTACCTTCGGCTATCGATTTATCGGGGCTCGCTCTCCCTCCGCAGGGCCATCGGATCGCCGCCGCGATCACTGGATTTAGATAGCCACCTTCTGCATCCCACGAATTCCGTTTCCCGGCTGCAACTTTGCTGCCCGGCCTCACGTCTAGGATTCCTCTCGCGGCTCGAATAGCTCGGCACGAAAGAACTTCGGAAATAACGGTAAATTCTCCGTAATTGACGCTCAGCTGGGAAACGAAAATGGACAATTTGGGAAAAGCAGGCACGATTATTCGAGCTGAGTCGAACCGCAAGAATCGAATAATCGTCTCTCTTCTCCCTAAATTGTCCACTTTTGTGCGCAATCTGAGCGCGAATTAGGGAAAAATTACTGTATAGTAAATTCTCCGTATTTGACGCTCAGCTGGGAAACGAAAATGGACAATTTGGGAGGAGGAGATACTGTATATACTATGTAGTATATACTATGTAGTATATACTATATATACTGTATATACTATGTAGCTGTCTCTTATACACATCTAGATGTGTATAAGAGACAGGTATATATAGTATATACTACATAGTCTGTCTCTTATACACATCTAGATGTGTATAAGAGACAGGTATATATAGTATATACTACATAGTCTGTCTCTTATACACATCTAGATGTGTATAAGAGACAGGTATATATAGTATATACTACATAGTCTGTCTCTTATACACATCTAGATGTGTATAAGAGACAGGTATATATAGTATATACTACATAGTCTGTCTCTTATACACATCTAGATGTGTATAAGAGACAGGTATATATAGTATATACTACATAGTCTGTCTCTTATACACATCTAGATGTGTATAAGAGACAGGTATATATAGTATATACTACATAGTCTGTCTCTTATACACATCTAGATGTGTATAAGAGACAGACTATGTAGTATATACTATATATACTGTATATACTATGTAGTATATACTATACTATATATACTATATATACTGTATATACTATGTACTATATACCATATAGTACTATACTTATTACTACTATACTTAGTACTAGTTAGTATATATATACTAATATGTAGTATTATATAATTAGTATATATATATACTTATATATATACTACTTAGTATATATACTTAATACTATACTTAGTACTATACACTTAGTAGATATAATAGTAATATATATAGTATGTATAACATGTATAGTACAGTATAATATATATGCAAAAAAATAAATAAATATAATAATATTCATAAATTAATAAATTAGTAATAAATAAACTGTATAATATATATATATATGTGTAGTAGTATACTATATACTATGCATATATATTATTATGTCAAACTCGTCCCGTGTATTCCCAAAAGTTTTCCGAGACTTCGCCGTGACATTAGGAAAACAGGGGATCCGGGAAAACGCGCGCGTAGAATGCCCGAGCAAGCAGCGTGTACGTGTCTATGTGTGTGTGCGCGCGCGCAGCCAAGTGTGTGCTCGAGAGCAACCAGTGCGTTATGAGAGCGACGTGCGCCGAGTGTAGCGAGCTCTCGGAGTGCATCTAGAGAGTTTCTCGAGAGGAGCATTGAGGGATCGCGTAAGTAGCCTAACGAAAACCGTAAGGAGAAGAGCTGAAAACTGTTTCTCTGAAACAGTTTTCAGCTCCTCCCCCCCCCCCTCCTCCACTCTAATACAGTTTACCAGTGAACTATGAGTACGGGTAATTTCTAATAAAGAGAACTTCACGGTCTGAGAAATTGTGAACGAAATTGCATTTCGCGTTTTAAAAAAGTGGAAATAAATTAAGTTTGCGTATATTGTTAATTATGAGACTAAAATTATGAGACTGTAAATTGCGTTATTAAATGTAACTATATAAATTGTATTCTTGCCTTTCTGTGGAGATATTAGAATATGTATTTAACAGTACAGAAACTATCGGAACACACACAGTAGAATCGATATACTTGACAATAAATAAACTATAAATATAGTTTTGCAACGATTGAACACAGAAAATTATTTCAATGTCAATTTATTCGCTGTATTTGTTTATACGTACGCGCACCACGAGAAGAGTCTGCCTATATTTTCGTAATTTATGTCCGAAATTGTTTTATCCTATTTAAATGCGCAGGCCCAGCGTAGATGTCGGTAAAGCAGGGAACGACGTTACGGTAACAAGACATTTTGCAGAAAATTTCAGCTCTCGACTGGAACAACTGAAAATCCTTTTCACAAATATTCTTGCTATGTAGAACGAAGCCCGGTACAAAATTTGAGCCGGATAGAAGCGTAAAAATTGCGAAGGTCACAGAAGGTCATGTCAATTTTCTTCCTTCTCCCTTTGGGAAAAGTAGGTGCGATTATTCGAACATTGTGGCTCGATTTTATAGTTGTTATATGTATATTATATTCGCGAAAAACGGTTGATAGTACGATGAATTTCGTTAAGGACTTAACCTGGACCTAATGCAGACCTAACCTGGACCTAACGCAGATTTAACTTCGATTTAATCAGAATCTGACTCAGACCAAAGGTCATGAATTTAAGTTGCAAGCCTCAGAAACGAAAAATTACTATGTTGTTATTTTATTCTTCCGTTAAGTCTAGGTTAGATCTAGGTTAGGTTCGAACAGGGTGCGAAACGTGAAGACTATTTTATTATTGCTATATTATCCATTTAGATGTGAATCAAGCCTAGATCGGGTTTGGGTTGTTAATAAAAGTATAAACGAATGAAGTAATAGTTTTTTTTATCTCAGACCCCTAACCTAGTACTAACGCGGGCGTAACTTAGACCTAATCCAGAACTAACTGAATGAAATAGGGATAATGAGGCAGTTTTTTGTTTAGATGCTTTATTGTAAGTTTTCGGCCTAGTTTAGGCCTGTATTTGGACCAGATTAGATCTCGGTTAGGTCTAGGTTAGGTGTAGGTTAGATTCAGACAGAGGGGAAAACACAAAGATTATTATATAATTGCTACATTATCCATTTAGATGTGAATCAAGCCTAGATTGGGTTTGGATTGTTAATAAAACTATAGACGAATGAAATAATAGTTTTTTTTGTCATAGACCTAACCCAGTACTAACACAGACGTAATCTAGATCTAATCCAGAACTAACTGAATGAAACAGAAGTGATGAGGTAGTTTTTTTGTTTAGGTATTGAATAGCGTAAATTGAAAGGTTTGGGCCTGTATTTGGCCCAGATTAGATCTCGGTTAGGTCTAGATTAGTTGTAGGTTAGATTCGGACAGAGTGCGAAACGCAAAGACTACGCTCCCATTGATTTTCGAAGATTCAGCTTTTCCTGTCAAACTTTCGCAAAGACGTCGATTATTCGGCCCGGAAAGTGGGCCGCAAAGTCGGCCGTCATCGGTGCAGCTAATTAACGTTCGCATGAATCGTTTGTCGCAGGCGGCGGGACCGCCGGTGCAGCTGGAACCAGTGGACCTGTCCGTGAAAACTCCGGTGGTGTTGCAGGTGCCTCGGTACAGTCCAGCGGCTATAATTACCGCGGCCGCTAGAAGAATCCCTTCACCTTCGACAACGCCCACGCCGCCGCCACTCTCCATTTCTACCGGTGAGTAAAATTTTAACGATGCGACCGGCATGCGCGCGCACTCGCCCGCTCGCGCAAGCGGCTTTAACGATTCCGAGTCCTTTCATCGTCGCGCACCGGACACACTGAAAACCCGCCGGACGACCGTCACGCCACCTTCTCCCCCAATACCCCCGCCGCAAAACTCGATTCTGCAAATTTCTATTTCCGAAAGGTTAAAAGCGTGTAAATCATTTTATACTGCGCGCCATGTTAATAACCGCCGGGATTCCTGCGGACGCCATGCCTCGCGGAACTATCCAGCTAACGTTACCCGCCTCTCGGATAACGCTCGGAATCGATCCCTCGCCACGTTCACTTTCACGGCTCGGCGGCGTGCATGCGTCCCCGCGGAGAGCGCGGCGGCGTTACGCGCCAAGAAATTATCGTACCGTGCCGAGGAGCTTTCCGCGAGAAAGCTGCGTGCAACCTTGTCGGCACTGGCTGTCATTAGCCGGTTCGAACAATTACGCCTTTCTACGCCGCTGGAACACCGTTCCATGAAACGGTTCGGCAACGGCGGCAGTCTTTGCTCTCGTGGGACCCACGTGGGCCTGCTCGCGTTCATTTTCCACGATTTTTAATCGTCGTCGTGCTCGGTTATGAGAGTTCTGGATTATCAAGATTAGTTGAGATTAATTAATTACTATTAATTTATGTTGATTAATAATTCTTAATAATAATAATCATTATTAATTTATTAAGATTACTCAATCATTTCAAGTTAATTAACATTAATTTTATGAATTAAATATTTAATTTATTGAGATTAATTAATCATGAAAATTATTAGTAATTAATAATTATTAATCAACAATAACTATTAATTTATTAAGATTACTTGATTATTTTAATTGAATATTAATTTCATTAACTATCTAATTAAATATTTAATTTATTAAGATTATTTAATAATTTAATTTTTATTAATTAAAAATCATTATTAATTATTATGGTTAAATTATTAAGATTACTTAATTATTTAAATCAAATATAGATTTAATTAATCATTTTATTAAATATTTAATTTATTAATATTATTTAATATTTTTATTATTATTAATTATTATTAATAATAATTGTTATTAATTTACTAAGATTACTTAATTATTTAAATTGAATATTCA